TGGCCACTTGGAAATCGTTGACTATGTTCGCAAGGACTACAAAAAGCGTCATTTTTCCCCACAATTTTCTTAATCGCTCAGTTTGACCTGCGTAGAAGTGTTTCAAAGCAGCTTGGAAATCTTTTCATGTTTCTTTTTTACTTAGACAACATTTGTCTGTGAATCTTTGAAAGTGAACTGAACAGGAATCACTCACTTAATCACGGAACCAGTTTCTTTCTGTGCTTTTTCTTCCACGTGATGTTGTTCAAAGATTTACAGAGCTTGTTTCAGCTATGGAATCGGCATAAAACGCCTGCTGGGAGTGATTGATTTCTGCCGAAAGTGTGAAGAAGGATATCGAGCACAAATGCTTGTCAGCAAGATCGAGGCTATCGCTTTAGGAATGGAATAAAGTTGTAATAACACACACAGACTCAATCCAGTGTATGTGTTTAAAGTTAGTCATGGCTTGGTTGAACTGTATGCATGACACATGTATGATGAAAAGTAACCGTAGTGATTGTCATTCGGGCTCTAAAGCCAAATTTTAGACATAAGTATATAATCATTTGAGTAGTGATCGGGCTAGGTCCACTACAGTGAAGTGTGTCAGAAGTGTTGGCACTCTATGTTGTTGAAAAAAGCTCTTCTAATAAAGTGTGACTAAGGTCTAGTGAAAGTTTTATGAAGTAGTTCATAAAACGGTGTATTTCTTGGCTTTATTAATAATGTGGTTAAGAATTACCTAGTTCATAAGTTCATAATTTCATGTTGTATTCAAGTGGGACCAGTTATTAGATCACTTGTATATTCTACTGTGTCTACCCTTCCATTACAGTAATCATTCCATAAATAGTCGTGATTGATATTTATTGAATTTTAAATTGATGATAGTAATTATAGTAATTTATTTAATGACAGAAATAAATGTGATGTGCCATGTGTGTTTTATATGTAAATGAACAAGAATTTTGTGTAAATACTCTACAGACATTTTTATGAATGGATTTACATGTCGTAGTTCCACAAAACGGCTCATTGTTCTGATAATGTCGAGAATGCCAGTTATCGGTTTTAGGAAATGTCTAGTCATGACGTCTATCTGCGCACTCATCATCATCGTGTTCTTTCGTAACATTCCTTTCCGGTTTCCTAGACCACCGTCACAGAGGCTGTGCTAGGCAGTGCCACCTTTGACGGTCATCTTGTAACACATTCCGAGCCTCAAAAACTCGTTTCATATACTTCTGCTCGAAGGCTTGCTTAGGTGTGGAACGACGGTTCCGCAATAATCAAGAGCTTTCACTGATTTTCTTCAACTACTTCTTTGATTCATACTCATCACAGTCTCTGAGCGCCGAGAAGTACTATATTAAGGCGCTTTAGAATTACAGATGTCATTCATTGTGTCGATTGCTGATGCAGAGTGACGCAAACATTACCCAAAAATAATTTGTGCAAAGGTGTACCAAATGTAGTATGGAAGTAATGTTTCTATGGGAACTAGCGAAATATTACTACAAAATACTGCGATGGAATCTATTCTAGTCAGATTCGTTCATGAGCTAGAAATCCCTGATCAATCAAAAAGGAGTTATACATCCATCGCAAAAATGCGTTAGATTTTCTATTTTCTCAGTCTTGCACCATCCCGGAACTTGATCAGTATCTTGATGATGAATGACACAAGGAAGTGTCAAAAGTTCACTTTAAAAAATCCAAAACCTCAAAACAAGCCCAAAAATTGCAGGCCTGGGTTTGTTAGGCCCATGCAGTAAGATTTTGAGCCATGTTCATAATGTATTTCGGACCTTTCAGATGTGCAATGTACTGAAACACGGTATCAGTCTTCTAAGAAATTGCTTTGACTTTGTAGTTCTTTGGGCTTTTTTGGAATGTACTTTGGTGCCTTGTTGGTAATACAGCACGCTTTTGTTTAATTCGCTCTTTCAACAAGACTATCACGTGGCCGAATGTAGCACGAGAAAATGAAATCTAGGTCGAGCATCTATGGCAGGCAACGCCTGGACGTTCTTTGCTTCGAAAGTTTGATCATTACGCCTTTTCGAGGCGAATTTTTCGTTTTCAGTAGTACATGCACAACTGAATGGTATAACGTTCAGAAACAGTTAATCTAAAGAAGCTGGCGAAGAGCAGTCACTCCATAAAGGGTTGTTGAAAGATCAACAGCCAAGTTAAAATAAGATTTGAAAAGCGCATGAAGATTGTAAGTGAGAATAACAAGGATCTTGTTCCTTCACCATGCGTTTCGAACTTTTCCTAATTGGGAATGAAGAATTCGAGCCTTGTGAGCGATACAATGCACGATACGAGATGTTGCATCATCATTATTCTCGTTGATATGTAGGTGATGGTGAATTCTTCGAGGAGCTTCTCATTCACGTTTCTCAAGGGTTACCAATGCTGACAAATTCATTATTTCCTTAACACATTCTGTAATTAGGTCGCTAATCTAGGCGAGTGTTGAAATAAGAATTTATCTAGCGGTCAACTTTGTATTTATATACACGCCGATTGTCTTAGGGTGCAACAGTAAATAAATAAATAAATGAATAAATAAATACGTAAGCAAACAAATAAGTAAATAGGGCTCTATTTCTTCATAAAACGTCTCTCCTTGAATGCTATTGTGAGCACCTATGTCGAGGCATCGCTGTGAATAGCCAATTCCTACAGATGAGTTCAGAACGAGGAGCCCGGACAGCATTCAGGAGTATCAAAATAGTAGAGGAGAAGAGGATGGAAAAATATCGGGTTCGCATCAACCTCTTCCTGCTGTCTTTAATGTCGTAAGGTAGAAACTTCAGATTGGGACTTGGCAAGCAGGACAAATATGCGGGAGAAATATTTAATGCGCTCTCAAAAAGGCGACTGGAATTTTACAAAAGATCGTGGACGAGCTCCAAGATGCAGTCTGTCGACAGTCGAAAATATGTAGAGCAGCATGTCGCATTCGTTATAGCATCGAAGATTGGCTAGATTGTTGTGTGATGGGAGTGCAATGAGGCGCCTAGGCCGACGTCATAGAGCGATTCGCTAGCGAATCGCTGGATCCGAGCGTTGCGCCAGCGAATCGAACGTTGCACCAGCGAATCGAACTTTGCACCAGCGAGTCGAACTATGTACCAGCGAGTCGAACTAGGTACCAGCGACTCAATAGTGGCGGGACCCAACGTTCAAAGGAAGCCCGCTACTTTCGAACAGTGTCACGTGACAGTGGACTCTTTTTGAAAGTAGAACACACGACAATGAACAGGTTGCGGGTTCCTGCTCAATCAAGCTAGTGAAGAGCAACGAGGGTACCATTCCCTCAGGTATTCGTGAAAATGGTTTTTCACGAATACCTGACGGATTTGAAAACATACATTTCAGCTAATGAAGAAGAGCAAATCACTGAAGTCGAAGCGATCTGTGAAAATACTGGTTCCCATTCACGCATTTGGAAGCTGGCTCCAAGTGATTTCTGTGAGATTCGAACAAAAAGCGAGCGAAGAAAGACATGCAAATGAAGACATGAGAAAACGCACTGTGAACCTTTAGAAGGGAGGAGTTAGCGCATTGTGGTTTACAAATGCAAGCGAGAGTGAGTGCCACTTCGTACACATCATAACATTTTGTTATGCAATCTGCTCCCATTATTTTTCACGTCAAAGCGATATGAAGAGAACTTCGTTATTTATCGAGGCCTTATTGCCCCTACCTTAGAGGGAGTGAAGAAGCGTTTGCGAACACATAGGAGGAATTGTAGGATCACAGACGCTGAGTACATGTTGTCCTCCAAAGTTGAATTCAGGGTACGGCAAAGGAAAGCTTTGAATTTTGTTCTTCTCACGCGTAACCCTCTTGCATGTTACAACATTACCACCCCATCTGACCTAGATGCGTAGATCTCTTAAACATTATTCAAAGTCAACAAAATTCATCAGATTAGCTTAAAGAGTAAGAGAGAGGCATTTGACGTCAACCCATGCGTTTGGATGCGCCTCGACTTTACTTCTATTCAAAATCGAAGCAGCATTTGTATACGACCTGGACAACTTGCGGGGACCACCTGATATGCAACGCATATGTTCTTATCCAAACCTGCAGCATGAAACCATTCAACCATTTTCGAGCGGAATGAAAGCTTGATTGACCTGGGTGATACCGAAGTATCGAGCTAGAATAGTTAACGCGTTTGTCGCCGCACCCACTCTGCCCTCAACTTCACACATTCTTTTAAAAAAAGTTGATGTGATCTTTTTCAAAATAAGTTTTGGACTGTAAACATCTTTGCAGGCAACATTTACGAAGTGCCTACAAACAAAATGATGATACTGCCACTGTTGGTGCAGAAATAATTACCCCTAATTTATTGCCGCTTGTTAATAAAGGAGTTGAAATATCTGCACATGGGATGTTATTCGAGAGCCACCGTGATTGCAATAAAGATGCCCCATCAGAAACCATTGGATAATTCCGCAACACCACTTGTCAATATACATGCGCAATCATGTAGTGCTATACGAAGTTATTACGAATTCGAATAAATGTAACAATGCTCGTGAACACTGTAACTCATTACTCGTAGGAAAATTCATTTGTTTGGTCTAACAAAAGTACCCATTTTTTCTTATCTCTCTTGCTGAAAACCTTTCTTCTGTTTGTGAGCTTAATTTGGCTGTTCTATTTTTCGTGCTTATCAATTATTTTAATGCAGTGACAGTTAGGAAGGCAGTCACAAAATGAAACAAATTTAATGGTCAAACAGTAAATCAGTAAGCGCTGCAGGACGTCATCATGCAGTCACAGGAATCAGATTTGTTGACAACTCCTCATACATACTCTGTAAGGCCATACCGAGAGTGTGCATGTATTGGTGGCTCCATGGAAGAGCTCACCGGCAGCGCGGACGCGTTCGTGTATTGGTGATGTCACAACGTCGGCAAAGAAGCGACCAAGGGCCGACTTCACCACCTTTAATTTAACGTATTAAAGGAATCTTGCGCGGAAAAATCATGATTCTATTTCAGCCATAAATCACTGGCTTGAGACTCATTATCCACGATAATAGTGAAAAGAACTGAAGTATTGCTTTCGTTTTGATTAGAAATTCGAAAACTCGAAAAGGCTGCTACGCGTTCGAATTGCCCACGGACGTCTTTCACGAATGCTGGCGACGGGGATGCTCAAACTTGGTTCTTGGAGTGCATTCACTAGAAGCTCTTTCTGGCCTTCTGCTTCGTTGCATTCACATCTTACACTTCTACTCCATCCTATTCCATCGATCGATTTGTCTCCACTCTCCGAAATCGCGCGCTTTAACCCGATTCTCTCATTGCGTCGCCTGGTACGTAGCCGGCCAAACGCCGTCTTCTTTCCATGCCTCGCCTGGCTCTGCCTCCTGGTCCT